TCCGTGAAGCATTGCCAGAAATATTTCATGAAATATTGTGGCAATGTTTCATGTAGCATTACAGGCAATGCTGCTGCAATGTATCAATGAAATATTTTGTGCAATGTTTCAGCAAGGTTTCTGCAAGGTTTCCGTGAATCATTGCCAGAAATAACTTATAAAATATTGTGGCAATGTTTCATGTAGCATTACAGGCAATGCTGCTGCAATGTATCAATGAAATATTTTGTGCAATGTTTCAGCAAGGTTTCTGCAAGGTTTCCGTGAATCTTTGCCAGAAATAATTTATAAAATGTTGTGGCAATATTTCGTGAAACATTGCAGGCAATGCTGCTGCAATGTATCAATGAAATATTTTCTGCAATGTTTCAGCAAGGTTTCTGCAAGGTTTCCGTGAATCATTGCCAGAAATAACTTATAAAATATTGTGGCAATGTTTCATGTAGCATTACAGGCAATGCTGCTGCAATGTATCAATGAAATATTTTGTGCAATGTTTCAGCAAGGTTTCTGCAAGGTTTCCGTGAATCTTTGCCAGAAATAATTTATAAAATGTTGTGGCAATATTTCGTGAAACATTGCAGGCAATGCTGCTGCAATGTATCAATGAAATATTTTCTGCAATGTTTCAGCAAGGTTTCTGCAAGGTTTCCGTGAAGCATTGAAATGTTTCATGAAACCTTTCGAAACAATCCTGTAATGTTTCAACTTTAAAAATAGAATTGGATTTTGTACATCATTAAGGTATAATAAATACGGAACTTGAGAAAAATGTCCATGACCAAATATTTACAAATGGAGTTTATTTATTAATTATGTGATGCAAGACTGGAATAATATTTATGTTTTATATAAAAAAAATCGCATTTGGTCTGTAATCCAAAGTTTCAGATTTTAAATAATAGAACTATAAAAAATAAAAAAAAGTACTTAAATTATAAATAAATTTGTTAATTTAAATCGTAAGTTGTTTAGTTATTAATATAAAATCACGTAATTGAACATGTCTCTCCCAAACAGAAAATATTTCCAGCAATGTTACAGCAAGTTTTCTGAAAGGTTTCCGTGAAGCATTGCCAGAAATATTTCATGAAATATTGTGGCAATGTTTCATGTAGCATTACAGGCAATGCTGCTGCAATGTATCAATGAAATATTTTGTGCAATGTTTCAGCAAGGTTTCTGCAAGGTTTCCGTGAATCATTGCCAGAAATAACTTATAAAATATTGTGGCAATGTTTCATGTAGCATTACAGGCAATGCTGCTGCAATGTATCAATGAAATATTTTGTGCAATGTTTCAGCAAGGTTTCTGCAAGGTTTCCGTGAATCTTTGCCAGAAATAATTTATAAAATGTTGTGGCAATATTTCGTGAAACATTGCAGGCAATGCTGCTGCAATGTATCAATGAAATATTTTCTGCAATGTTTCAGCAAGGTTTCTGCAAGGTTTCCGTGAATCATTGCCAGAAATATTTTATAAAATATTGTGGCAATGTTTCATGTAGCATTACAGGCAATGCTGCTGCAATGTATCAATGAAATATTTTCTGCAATGTTTCAGCAAGGTTTCTGCAAGGTTTCCGTGAATCATTGCCAGAAATATTTTATAAAATATTGTGGCAATGTTTCATGTAGCATTACAGGCAATGCTGCTGCAATGTATCAATGAAATATTTTCTGCAATGTTTCAGCAAGGTTTCTGCAAGGTTTCCGTGAATCATTGCCAGAAATAACTTATAAAATATTGTGGCAATGTTTCATGTAGCATTACAGGCAATGCTGCTGCAATGTTTTGATGAAATATTTTCTGCAATGTTTCAGCAAGGTTTCTGCAAGGTTTCCGTGAAGCATTGAAATGTTTCATGAAACCTTTCGAAACAATCCTGCAATGTTTCAACTTTAAAAATAAAATTGGATTTTGTACATCATTAAGGTATAATAAATACGGAACTTGAGAAAAATTTCCATGACCAAATATTTACAAATGGAGTTTATTTATTAATTATGTGATGCAAGACTGGAATAATATTTATGTTTTATAAAAAAAAAATCGCATTTGGTCTGTAATCCAAAGTTTTAAATTTTAAATAATAGAACTATAAAAAATAAAAAAAAGAACTTAAATTATAAATAAATTTGTTAATTTAAATTGTAAGTTGTTTAGTTATTAATATAAAATCACGTAAATGAACATGTCTTTCCCAAACAGAAAATATTTCCAGCAATGTTACAGCAAAGTTTCTGCAAGGTTTCCGTGAAGCATTGCCAGAAATATTTCATGAAATATTGTGGCAATGTTTCATGTAGCATTACAGGCAATGCTGCTGCAATGTATCAATGAAATATTTTCTGCAATGTTTCAGCAAGGTTTCTGCAAGGTTTCCGTGAATCATTGCCAGAAATATTTTTTAAAATATTGTGGCAATGTTTCATGTAGCATTACAGGCAATGCTGCTGCAATGTATCAATGAAATATTTTCTGCAAGGTTTCCGTGAATCATTGCCAGAAATATTTTTTAAAATATTGTGGCAATGTTTCATGTAGCATTACAGGCAATGCTGCTGCAATGTATCAATGAAATATTTTCTGCAATTTTTCAGCAAGGTTTCTGCAAGGTTTCCGTGAATCATTGCCAGAAATATTTTTTTAAATATTGTGGCAATGTTTCATGTAGCATTACAGGCAATGCTGCTGCAATGTATCAATGAAATATTTTCTGCAAGGTTTCCGTGAATCATTGCCAGAAATATTTTTTAAAATATTGTGGCAATGTTTCATGTAGCAATACAGGCAATGTTGCTGCAATGTTTTGATGAAATATTTTCTGCAATGTTTCAGCAAGGTTTCTGCAAGGTTTCCGTGAAGCATTGAAATGTTTCATGAAACCTTTCGAAACAATCCTGTAATGTTTCAACTTTAAAAATAGAATTGGATTTTGTACATCATTAAGGTATAATAAATACGGAACTTGAGAAAAATGTCCATGACCAAATATTTACAAATGGAGTTTATTTATTAATTATGTGATGCAAGACTGGAATAATATTTATGTTTTATATAAAAAAAATCGCATTTGGTCTGTAATCCAAAGTTTCAGATTTTAAATAATAGAACTATAAAAAATAAAAAAAAGAACTTAAATTATAAATAAATTTGTTAATTTAAATTGTAAGTTGTTTAGTTATTAATATAAAATCACGTAATTGAACATGTCTCTCCCAAACAGAAAATATTTCCAGCAATGTTACAGCAAGTTTTCTGAAAGGTTTCCATGAAGCATTGCCAGAAATATTTCATGAATTATTGTGGCAATGTTTCATGTAGCATTACAGGCAATGCTGCTGCAATGTATCAATGAAATATTTTGTGCAATGTTTCAGCAAGTTTTCTGCAAGGTTTTCGTGAATGATTCCCAGAAATATTTCATGAAATGTTGTGGCAATGTTTGAGAAATATTGCAAGAAACATTTTACTGAATGGTTTTTAAAATATTTCCGGAATATTGTAGAAATATTTCTGCAAACTTTCCCTGAAATATTTCATTGAATCTTTCAGTGAAATATTTCATGCTGTGTGGGTATGAATATTCTTACCTCGTTTTCAAGTAATTCATACGATCGTCTAAATCGTTACAAAATATAATTCTTCTATTTTATCCAGCTAACATTTTTTCACATTGACCAGCAACTTACAGTTTACTTCCCCGAATCTCATTTTTATCCATAGAAAAATCTAAGAACATATAAATAATTACAAGTATGAACGAAAGACAGAGGGTCTACAGTTATAAAAAAAGGCTCTTGTAATATAAGTAGCTTTCAATTGCTATTCTAGTTACTGTTCTAGAAAATGTATATTTTAATCTAAAGTTTTAAATATAATTTTCAACTAAATTATTTTTTATTACAGGTTGTATTACTATATAAAATAATACTATGAAATCTTTTTCACAAAATGATCATAACAACCATATAATTAATAACCAATCATCATATATTTGATCTTTACTGCAAATAAAATTTCGAGTTATTTTCAAACAAATTTCATCTTTCTAACAACTGATAGGAGCAAACTGTACGAACCTGAAAATCGACGACATAACTGACAGAAGATTATTAATTAAGAGATTTTCTCTATCCATTGACAACACAGCTTGTATGATCATTCTAATGACCATCAGCTTGGTTTCTTTTGATGTCTAATATTCTTTCACTGCAGTGGCGGATCATGGGGAGGGCTTGGTGGTGCTGTAGCACCGAGCCCCAGGGATTGGGGGGCCCCGAGCTCCACTTGAATTGAAAAAAAAAATCAGCCAAATCAAATTTTAAATTCGATTAAAAAATTCCACGAAAAAATCCGTTTTTTGATGATTTCCAGTAAAAATTGATTTCGATGAACTTTAAAATAAAAAAGTTTCGTGCAAAATACATTGTTTTCAAATCAATACTATTTATTTTATTCGTCTATTATTCTGTTTTGAACTAAATCATAACTCTCGGATAAACGTATAGACTTTTTCTATTGAACACACTTTTTCATTACTAGATTAATTTGCAAAGGTAAAAACAAATTGAACCGATTTGAGACAACTTTAACTTTTACTTGAATTTACTTATTTGAGTAATATGAATTTAAAGTATTAAATGTTTCGCGGGTCAAAACAATCAAGCATCGCGGCGAGATTCTTACACTCCGTTGTTTTGCTTGCCTTTGGAGATGTGTCGATTCGCGGAAAACCCGAGCACGCTTCAACGGGCTAAAAGCTGAAAAAAGCTATACACACTGCATACACAGCAGCACGCTGCACCTAACTGTGGTTATCTTGCTTTTTCTAATTTTAAAGTGTTTCTTTTAATTCGCGTTTTTTGATAGCAAGTCAGAGCGACAAATCTATTATATTTCATTCCGCGAGTACACCTCGTTTACGTTTATTAATAAGTAAGGGGAGTGAGTTTGAGTTTTTCGTTGAACGTGTGGTGTTTGTTTTTCGAACAAAATGCCGAGCAGACAGTATTTAAGTGGCAATAAGAAAAGACAACTTGCGAAAGAAAGAGATGAAAAAATACGCAAACTTCCCAAATTGACAACATTTTTTTCTCCACGTGCGTCGACATTAGAAGAAAATGACACTTCACAGAAAAATAATGAGAACGAGAACGATGATACTATTTGTGACAAATATGAGGCAGTTGATAAGATTGACCAAGGTGATCCTAATGATGAAATTCAGGATAAAGAAATTAAAGCTGAACCTACTCAAAATGATCACTCAGTGCACGAAGACAATAATTCAACGCTACAGATTAATGTAGCAGGTAAAATTGAGTTTGATTAGTTTTTGTTTTGCAAATTTCGTACGGTGTTTGTGCTTTTAAATGGCGGCATTTTTTTCACTAGATTTATACTGTATGAAATATTCACCGAGTGTTTCTATTTTCATTTCAAAAAATTAGTCCGATATTGTGATTTGTATTATTTGTTGACAAAAGTTATTTTATTTTAGATACAATTGCTATCCATCAAGATCCAGCTTTATGGACACTTAAATTGAATCAAAACAATTTTGAACGCGAAAAGTACTTGGATAAAGGATGCAAGTTTTTTCAAAACAAAAACGATAGTTTCATCAAATCGGTGAGAATTTTCGCTAATCAGAAAAGATATTTTTCGGCTAAATATTTTCAACGTCAATTAACAAATGGCGAAACATGTGATAGAAAATGGCTTTTATACTCTCCATCTTTGGGCACGGTTTTTTGTTTTTTCTGCAAATTATTTTCCAATCAACAAGGAAATACTTTTGTAACGAATGGATTTTCCAAATGGAACAAAACTGAAGAAGGCATTCATTCGCATGAAAATAGCAAGGAACATAATAACTGTATGTTATTATACTTGGATTACAATTTGGCTAACGCTCGCATCGATAAAAAAACCATTGCCCTTATAGAAGCTGACACAAAATATTGGACTCAAATATTAAAGCGCATTGTAGCAGTAATCCGTTTCTTAGCTGAACGAGGATTGCCATTTCGTGGTAAGAATGAAGTCTTTGGTTCTCCAAACAATGGAAACTACCTCGGAATTTTGGAGCTAATAGCTGAGTTTGATTCGACATTGAAAGCACATATTGACACATACGCGCACAAAGGTCGAGGTACGGTGTCTTACTTATCAAAAACAATATGTGAAGAATTTATAAACTTGATGGCTGAGCAGGTAGTACAACACATCAAAAATGAAATTAGTCAAGCCAAGTACTGGGGTCTCGTTATTGATTCAACGCCTGACATTGCGCAGGTTGACCAATTCTCCGTTGTTTTTCGTTACTATTTGAACGAGCATGTGTATGAGCGATTTTTTTGCTTTTTGCAAGTAGGCAGCCACAAAGGTATAGATATGAAAAATGCCATTTTAAAACTGCTAGAAGAACATGAAATCAATATAGCAGGTTGTCGTGCTCAAACATATGATAACGCGAGAAACATGTCCGGTCATATTAAAGGACTGCAAGCTTGCTTAAAAGAGCTGAATAAACTAGCTTTTTATGTACCATGCTGTGGGCATTCTTTAAATTTAGTTGGGGAATGCTGCGTTCTCGATTGTACCATAGCTGCTTTATTTTTTCATCTCTTGCAAGGTTTGTACAACTTTTTTACAGCCTCTACATACAGATGGGAAATTCTAGATTCAAAAGTTTCCGATTTATCGGAAACTAGATGGTCATGTAGAGGAGATGCTACAAAAGACTACGTCAATAATTTTGATAAGATCTTGGTTGCTCTAGAAAAAATATCTGAAGATTGCGAACAAAAACCAGTAGCAAGACAAGAGGCTGCTGGACTATTGAAAAGTATGAAAAAGCTTGAAAACGCTATAATGGCAGTGTTATGGAACAAGATATTGAACAGATTTAATGCTACGAGTCAGTACTTGCAAAAAATCAATGTAGATCTTGTATCTGCAAATGCAATGCTGTTATCTCTGATCGTTTTTGTTTCAGATTTGCGTGATGAATTTCCAACAATTGAGGCTGAAGCAAAAGCTCTGAGTGAATCAGTAAACCAAGATTACACAGACGCAAGCAAAAGGCGAATAACACGCAAGTTGGCTGACAAGGATACGCAATCCGAAACTTCGAACGGCTCTGAAAAATTTAGAATTGAAACATTTTATGTTATTTTTGATAGATTAGTCACAGAATTGAAAAAGCGAAGTGAAGCATATAGTTTTATCACAAATTTGTTTGGATTTTTAACTCAGTTGATGAGTATTGATGGCGCAGAATTAGAGAGAAAAGCGAGAGAACTTATAGAAGTGTATCCAGATGATCTAGATGAAGACTTACTAATAGAATTAAGGCAATTTGTACCGCGTGTCAGAACACAAACTGCCGGATTTTTCTCGAATCGCACGTGCGAAAATATCAGAACAAATGATAAAACGATCTGTCCTATATTAGTCCTGAATTGGATAGCTGAAAATGGTATGGTACCAATTTTCCCAAATGTGTACGTTGCGTATAGACTACTCGTGACTATTCCTATAGCCAACTGCGAAACTGAGCGATCGTTTTCTGTGTTAAAGCGAATAAAAGATTTGCACAGATCCACTATGCTTCATGACAGACTATCGGCACTGGCTGTTCTCACCATTGAAAAGGAACTACTTAGATCACTTAATTTCGATAAATTAATTGAAGAGTTTGCAAAATCAAGAAGTAGAAGAAAGGCCTTTTAATTAATTTTTTTTTTGTGTAATGTACATAAAAATGATTATATTTTGTTATGTAATACTAATAAAATGGATGCATTGTTTTTACGTATTATGCGATTAGTTTATTTTTTCCTGCCTGAAAGCTTTTTTAGCTTAAATCAGCCGCCTTAAATGGGCCCCGCCGGAATTTTAGCACCAGGCCCCGGAAGGTTTTAATCCGCCACTGTTTCACTGTTATATCATGTTTTCAGAACTCCCACATTCTATTATAAACATCTTCAGATTTTCCTTTAAGTTTTTGTCCTGAAATAATTAATAAATAAATAAACCCTTTATTTTGTTAAAGCGATTGATTAGAAGTAATGTATATGAATATTCTTATCTAATTCTGCAACACCTATAGTATCATTTTTATATATTTACTTCAAAATCATAATTTTCTTCCACTCTGTGCTGATAGCACTTACATGTGTAAGACTGTTGTACGATAATGTTATTTTTCTTGATAAATAGGAGGGGTACAAACAGAAAATTAAGACAATTTTGAATAGTATAAGTAGAAATAAAGCTATTTACTTAAATTTGTTTAAGAAAATTCACCATTTATCTACCAGGATCATAGATTTTATTAATTTTTGGCATTTTACTGTGTTTCTATGAAAAACGCTGTACTAATATGTAATTATACTAATATTTAGTATAATTCAAATTCTACAGGGGTACAAATTATTTTTTTGAATTTTCGTAGATGGTACAAATTAAGAAGAAGACATTCATAATTTTTTACATTAAAATACCACGATTTTTCCGCCGAGAATTTCGTGTCTTCCGCGTGGAAGACACGAAATTAGAATCGTCGAATTAGATTACAAATATTATTTTTTTCTTGAAATTTTCGAGGGGTTCAAATTCCAAAATAACTATTTTTCGACTGGTACTGATTAAGGCAAGGCTGGTGGTGAATTTTGTTTTAGGAAATAAATATTTTTCCTATCAGAATTATCTACTTTATCATCCGAGTAATCAGCTGTTTTTGTGGATATAGGAGTTTAAGAGCACACGTTAACTTAAGACTTTGTATATTAACATATTAATTAAATTTTAGAATATAGTGGTTACAATAAAACTATTTTCAGTTGGTAAAAGTTAAGGAAAAGCTAGAAATATATTTTTTTCTTAAGAAATAAAAGATTTTCCTGTAAAATTTATCAACATTAGAATTGCACAAAAACATTGTATTATTCAAATTCTACTGAGGTACTAATTAGTTTTATGTCTTTTTTAGATGGTACTGTAACGTCACTTTCTTATGTCATCCAGAATCGTACATTAGAACAAAAACCTTATTAAAAGAGTGATCAGACTCTCTGTTATTCAGCTATTTGACGTCCCACAGAGCATGAATTAATTCACTGAATTAATTCTTGAATTAACGCAAAGAATTAATATAAAAATAATTTTCTAAGAAAAGAAAATTATTTCTTAATTAATACATGAAATATTACAAAGAAATATTCTAAAATTCTATTAAAAATAATTCAGGTAATGATTCCTGTAAAAATAAACAAATTAATACATGAATTAATTTAGAAAGGATTCTGAAAGAAACCATGAATTAATTTACAACATAAAACTAAAATTATATCTTAAAATAATTTAAAACTATTTCAAAATTATTTCGTGATATGATTTTTGTAAAAATACATAAATTAAATCATTCATTAATGTTGAATTAATCCAAGAAATATTATAGGTTTTAAGCTCAAAACTAACGCAACAAATGATTCTGAATTCATTTAAAATTAATTCTTAAATTATATAAAAATGCAAAATTTCGATTCACCCGAATTATTTCAGAAAATAATTCAAAATTATTTCTGAATTAATTCGTGATATGATTTTTGTACAAATATACACATTAATTCACGGATTAATGTTGAATTAGTCCAAGAAAAATTATAGGTTTAAAGTTACAAATTAACGTAAGATATAATTATAAATTAATTATTTTGTTACGAGTGCATCTTTCGAATAGTTCTTATTCGAATATGTATCCGCTGCAACATTAATTTGTATATGTTGTTTGTTTATGTTTGTGATAGAAAACACAGAATAGTTAGTTAACACTTGGTTATCTGTTTGTAAACACTTTTTAAAATTAATAAAGTAAAGTCTAAGTCTTTAAGTTTAAACGTAACAATACATTAATTCTTGCATTATATTAAAATGGAAAATTTTGATTTACCTGAATTATTTCAGAAATTAATATAAAATTATTTCTGAATTAATTCGTGATATGATTTTTGTAAAAATGCACTAATTAATTTACAAATTAACGTACCGATAATCAAAGAAATATTATAGGTTTTAATTTCGAAATTAACGGAAGGAATGATTCTGAATTAATTCTGAATTAATTTTTGAATTAAATGAAAATGCAAAATTTCGATTCACCCGAATTATTTCAGAAAATAATTCAAAATTATTTCTGAATTAATTCTTGATATGATTTTTGTAAAAATGCACTAATTAATTTACAAATTAACGTACCAATAATCCAAGAAATATTATAGGTTTTAATCTCGTAAAAAAGCTTTTGTACGCATTACTGAGCATATGAAACGTTCATGAAAGCACCTACCTTACCGGCATTTACAGAACTTGAAATATTGTAGAATCAAAGTTAGATTAAAAATAAAAACGCTTTTTTAGGGTGTAGATATATGTCCAAGAATTACTCAGTTCAAATTTCACACAATTCTATCGAGTGGTTCTTTCAAAATTTGGTCAAGCAGCACCAAATCTTAATTTCTTCGAGGTGTTATCAGAGGCGTTTCATATCTCCTTAAGGGAATTTGAATTCAGGATTATTTAAACCCCTAGCATTGCGTTAAGCACTTCCATTTTTTATTATTTTTCGTTAAAATTGAAAGAAATTCAATGTGAAAATTCGATAAGAAATCTGCTTTATGTAATATTTATAATGTATATCTAATATATATCCATTGTGACGGTAAACGTCAAATTAGCGCTAATAATATAACTTAATTGCTGCCTGCGGGGGCAGCACCTACCGGGGAGACGAAAAACGTAACGAAAGAATTCGGCACGCGAGCAGACGGATCGCGCGCGATTGAAATTGAACCAGTGAAGCTTTGACCATCAACGAGTTCGCCGGTGTGTACGAGACCAGCTGTCACTACCCGAGTTACCGGAGCAGAATTCCGTTCGCAGAGCACCAAGACCTGAGTTCCAGAGATCGTCGCAGCCGAGGTGCCGTGCAGCTCACAAGGGCGAAGGCTTGAGCCAGCAGACAAAGGCGCCGTGCGCGGTGATAACGCTAGTGCGTGCGTGAGATTTCGCCATCGAGGGCAAAGCCACGTGCTTTTAAATTCGCGACTCGCGACACAAACAAACAATAGACCTTTTCCGAGTGCGACTTATTGGTGTCATCTTCGAGCGTCCGCAAAACAAAGGTAAGCTGGCCAGCTTAATCTCGCGATCGTGGTTGCATGTATAACAATTAATTTCTCGTGTTCGAAGCGTGCATGCAATAGCTCTGTTAACAAAGAGCAGCGAGCGTCCCGACACTGTGTGTCCTCGATGAGCGAACGCTGATGTCAACATAAACACGCGGGCCGATCCAGTGTAATATTTGATAGACAATAAAAGATTCTGTTCGTGTTATTAACAAGTGCTTTCGACTCGCTTATTCCACATTGCTTCCACTCATTTTCGTAGATTAGTAGATCTATTGGTTGACTGACACCTGTTTCCCCATGCTCTCCGGATTATGTATTGAGCATAGATGATTACATTCGCCCTTCAATAAACTCGCGCGAATAAAAATAATTAAACGGTAAGAAACCCCGTTACACCATATACTAGATAATATTAAAGTAAACATTAAATAAAATACTGTACGTTTATCAATTATTTTATTTCGTGTTCTTCTATAATTATATAAAATATAGCACTTTTAATAATTTTTAAAATTTTATTTATATATTCAGTAAATAATTTATTTATAGTATATCTAGTTGTGTTATATAATTTTAAATATTTTCTATAATAATTCTAAAAGTAATTAGATAGTATTTTATAAAATAATTCTTGTGAAATGGATATAATCTTTTAAAATTATTTCAGTGAATCAATTCTGTATTAATTTTACGTCAGCTTTTTATTACTTAAGTATCATTTTGAAAATTAATTTTGAAACAATTCAAAACATTCTTACTGTAATGATTTCAAAATTATTATGATAATATTTCATAAAATAATTCTTCTAAAATGCATGTAATATTTGAAAATTATTTCAGTGAATCAATTCTGTATTAATTTTATGTCCGCTTTTTATTTCTTCAATATCATTTTGAAAATTAATTTTGAAACAATTCAAAATATTCTAACTGTAATAATTTCAAAACTATTACGTTAATATTTCATAAAATAATTCTTCTAAAATGCATGTAATATTTGAAAATTATTTTAGTCAATTAATGTAGTAATAATATTCGTTATATTTCTGAAGGAAAAAAAACGGACATAAAATTAATACAGAATTAATTCATTGAATTAATTCTAAAATAATTATATTATTTCATGAATTAATTTTGAATTATTTTAGAATTAATTCATGCTGTGTGGGGTTACGCTTTTCTCTTATTTCTTCTAATAGTGAAATGTGCTTAATGAAACTATATGGCCTTCCAAATAGGCTTTCTTTTCCATCTATTACCACATGTTTAGCAAAGTGCCAAAGAAACTGATGCGTCTACTGAGCTGAGCTCAATAGCGTCGTTATCAATTCTTATAGACGTGTATGGTATAAATTGTAATTAAAGAGCGTGAAACATATGATTCGGCTACTTTTGCTTAAGATATTTATTCCTCTCTTAAGTTGAGCACAAAATCATAAAGGATAGGATCAGGTGACGAGTAAGGACTGCTACTATTAAAGAATTACTTGACATAGGTGTTAGCTAGATTTTTATTCGAACAGAGTTCGTACCACTACTTGG